CTGTTCTAGTTAGACATCGTAAGATATGTTTGGCAGCCAACAAGTGATTCTCGCAAGGCTCATGCATAAATTGAGCTACCTTGCTCACACTGTACTCTATGTCTGGTCTCGTATGACATACATAGAGCAATGCTCCAACCCTACTTCGAAATTCATGAGCATCTTCAAGAAGTTTTCCTGTATCTCGTTGAAGTTTATTAGATACAACCATAGGAGTACTGGTAGGAGTAGCCTTTAACATACCAATCTTTTCTAATAATTATAAAATAAAATTCTTTTGGGATAGAATTAAACCTTCATCACTGCGCTGAACTTCAATTCCCAAAAAATAATGTAAATCACCAAGGTCATTCAATGAAAAATTAACTCGGAGTGAATGAACCACTCATTTGATTGCAGCAGCTGATTGACCAGTAACAATAATGTCATCTACATAGACAAGTACATATGTCACTTCTCATTGAATAAGAGAAATAAACAGTGATGCATCCTCCTTTGACACCCGAAACTCCATTTGCATAAGACTTTCTTTCAGCTTGGTGTTCCAATTCCTGGGAGCGTGACGCAGTCCATATAATGCTTTATGAAGCTTACATACAAGCTTGGTGCCATCCTCGGCCAACTTTTCAAAGCCAGGTGGTTGCTACATGAACACTTCCTCATTCAAATCACCATGTAGAAAGGCATTATTAATATCCACATGTCGTAGTGACCACTTATTTGTTACAGCCATAGATAAAACAATATTTAGAGTTAGAAACTTAACCACTGGCTAAAGGTTTCTTTGAAATCTTGTCTAGGCACTTGCAGAAATCCCTTGGCAACCAGCCGAGCTTTGTAATGGTAAACTGTTCCATCATGATTCTGTTTCAATTTGAATAACCATTTACAACCAACTGTTGTTTTTCCAGCTGGTAATGGAACTAAGGACCATGTATCATTTCATTGTAGAGCAATTAGTTCATCCTGAACAGCTGTTGCCCATTGACTGAACTTAATAGCCTGATGAATATCAGTATGTATAACAGTGTCCTCTTTAGCAGAAAAAACATCTTTGGTTTGAAAATACCACGCTTACTTATATTAACTATGGGATGAGTGTTACCTACAGGTACCTGACCAGTATCACAAACATCTTCAAGTGGATGCTGATCTGACTCATGAGCGACATTGCTACTGGAAAATAGAGCATTATTAAGATGTGGAATATCAGTTGATTTATTAGAAGGCTCAAATTCACTACCCAAATTATAACCAGGACCATCTTCACTCTCAGTGTGACTTGCCTGATATGATGCACTGGTAGATGTCTATAATGGTGCCCCCACTTGAGGACACTCATTATGTCGTTTAGGAATGATCTCAAGTTCTGCTTATCATTGAGGGGGTAACACTCGATGATCAACACTTTGTTTATCTATTGCAAAAGGAAAACAAGTTAATCAAACTTTACATGTCTACTAATAAAAACACGACCATTTTCTCAAAGGCATTGAAACCCTCGAGGATAAGAGTTGTAACCCAAAAATGTGCACACTTGAGATCGTGGCATCAACTTATGAGATTGAAAAGCTCGAAGATGTGGAAAACACCTACAACTAAATACTCTCATGGTTTTGTAATCAGGTTTCTTAGCAAACAGTTTCTCAAAGGGAGAAACATTATTCAACACTTTGGTTGGCAATCTATTCACAAGATATGCAGTTGTAGTTACTGTATAGGACCAAAACCGGATTGGGAGAGATGTATGTGCCAACAAAACTAGTGATAACTCAATTAAATGTCGATGTTTACGCTTAACAACCCCGTTTTACTCAGAAGTATGAGGACGAGTGACCCTATGCAACACACCTGCATAAGCTAATTCATTTGACCAATTCCTGTATTCACTACTCCAATCACTTTGTACTACTTTGATTGGTAAAGAAAACTGAGTCTGGACCATGCTTTGAAATAATTGAAATGCAACTATGGCCTGTGACTTATCCTTCAACAGATATACCCGTGTGTGTCTAGTACAAGCATCCACAAATGAGATATAATATCAAAAATCAGCTGAGGGATCAGGTGAAGGCCCCCAGAGATCAGTAAACATAAGCTGAAATGGCTTATCATAAACTATAGTGGAGACAACAAAAGGTAATTTGTGACTTTTACCCAAACAACAACACACAATTGATTTGTATTATTTGGAATGTTAACATCAATGTAATTACAAACCAATTTCAAAGTAGAAAAACTGGATGTCTTAATCTTCTATGCCAAAGTTCAAATGAATTACAATGATCATTCACTGAATAAACATCTGCATTATTACAAACACTCGGTCGACTATCTAAGGTAAAGGTATAAAGACCCCCTTTCTATTTTCCTCGAAGTAGAACTTTGCCTGTCACTTTATCTCGAACACTACAACCATCAACATGAAATTCGAAAAAGATGTGATTATCTCTAGCAAGTTTTGAAACTGAGAGAAGTTGTTTAGTGATTTTAGGTACATGCAACAAATCATTAAGTATTAAAGCTTGAGAAGATGAGTTTAAGATAGATTGACTAATTGACTTCACATTAAGTGAAGATCCATTTCCATCCTAGAGATTATCTGGACCATTGAGATCAGTTGGGTGAGTTATATGAGATGCCTCAGGAGTGACATAATGCGTTGCACCTGAGTCAGCAACCCACTGAGCACAAGATGATTTCAAGCTTGTTGTATGAGCACCAATGGCATGTGTAGACACAGAGCCAACCTCATTCTTACTGGCACAACATGCTCAACCAACACTGTTAAGACTAACATAGTTAACACTGCTCGACTTATCATTGTATTGTGATCGAGCATTAGTGGCAAGAACTCATGCAAAGTCACGGTCAAACTGGTACCAACATCTATCAACCGAGTGACTAATCTTACCACACAATTGACATTGAAGTCGTGCTCCAAATTTGCCACCAGATCGACCACCACGCATCAAGGATGGATGCTGCTATTTAGATTCACGAGAATTTCCATATCCAGCAGATCTGATATGCAACTGTCCTTGAGCTACATTAGCACTCATAGGAAGATTCTCAGGATGTGAGTCAAAGCCAGCCAGTTGTGTTTCTGCATCAATCAGCATGGAATAGATTCGATCAAGTGGAAGTGTATCTGGACTCGATGTGATCACTGCCATAAAGGATTGATACTCTCTTGACAATCCTTTTAAGATACTAACAACATGCTCCACTTGTGAAATTAGACTACCACGTGATGCAAAAGCATCACAAACCTCTTTGATTCGAGTGAGATACACTCGCATTGAATCGTCACCTTTCCTCAGCGATTACAGCTTATAGTGGAAATTCATCACCATTGTCGTGGACTTGTTAGCAAAGAACTAAATAACAGTACTCTAGATAGCTGCTGCAGACTCAGCACCAACAAACTGAGGCAAAAGAAGAACACTAATCATCGATAGAAGCCACGAGGCAAGACCACTGTCCTGTGCCATAAAATTCTCAAATGCCTAGTTAACAATAGATGCACCCTCAGCATCAATGAAAAATTCAGGTGGAACATGCATCATACCATTGAGAAGCTGCTCTAGACGATGACTACGCACCGTAAATCTGCTTCTTTCAAAGGAGGAAGTTTGTATCGTCCAATACCACGTTAACCTTTTTATTTGTAAACATGGCAATAAAAAAGGACTTAAGAAAAAAAGGCAACAACAAAACAGAAGCCCCAGGACCTTTAGCGAAAGATACCATATTGAAAAACTAAGAAATGAGAAAGAAACAATATCTTCATTTTTTATATATCTAAAATGTGATGAGTTACATTGTTTATATAGCAAACAATTGTTGAACAAAGAAGCAACCATCCTAACAAATCCAACTGTGATAACCGTGCTTACTAACAGCCTAACAACCCTTGGTTTTGCTCATCTACAACACAACACACTGTATCAAGCATACGTTTAACTGCTTGAACATGTACCATGCATGCCATGCAGCACCATGCACACGTTTAATCTTCCAACAAATATGTATACAGAGATAATATATACACCCCTATGGTGTTGTTTTTAAGGGTGCTATCCTTGATGAAAACCGGTTATTCGATCAAGCCCTTATGAGAGTTAGCCACTCTTGTCTATCCTTGTTTCCTTTAATATAAATAAAGATTTTAAATAAATGAAAATTTTAAGGGTAAATTACACGATTACTTATAGAATTTTACTCTCCCTCCTATTTTACTCACCATACTTTCAATTTTTTCAATTTGTTCACTGAACTTTAGACATTGAACTTTTTTTGTCACTCGATCGTTAAATTTCTAATGTCGTTAAATTAAAACTGAAAAAATTAAAAGTACAATGAGTTAAATAGGAGAGAGAGTAAAGTTCAGTGAGTAAACATTTGACATGTTTTATTATTAAAATAAGCCACGTGAGCTCTCCGTTACTAAGTAAACAGTTGAGTGACAAAAAATGTTCAATGTCTAAAGTTCAATGAGCAAATTGAAAGTATGATGAGTGAAATAGGAGATAGAGTAAAATTAAGTGAGTAAACGTGTAATTTACCCAAATTTAAATTACAATCTTTGAAGAAAAACAAAACATATAATTATTAATATTATTAATAATTTGATTTAAGAAATTAAGAAATTAATACATTATTTTTGAGTTTCTCACGAGTTTTTTCAAGTTATATGTTAAGTAATTTATTTCGACTCGTTAAAAACTCGAGTCAAGTTTAAGCCCGAGTCGAGCCCATTAATTGTTGATCAATCTTTAATCAAATAAAACTCAAATAATTATTTATATTGTCTCATTTAGGTCCCGTTTTTCCCCCTTCAGGACTATAATCTTTTGTCGGTAAAAGGGGTTTTAAACGCCTTATATGTTTAAAATTTTTTTTTTCATCGATGGACAATATTAACCTCAATTATCTGTATAAGTAGCTAGCAAGCTAGTCGTGGGAAGCTAACACTTATAGTGAAGCACAAACTTCAATTTCAGAGCGAAAATGGAATTGGGACCGAAAATCGCATTCCCTCAATTTATCGTCGTCCAATCCAACGACAAGACTGATTACCTGAGCTATACACGTGGGGGTGACACTGATGGATATCTCAGGTTCTTCGAATATCATGTTCTGAACCCGTACGCCAAGTTTGAAGTGGAGTTTTCGACAAACGACATGGTGCACATAAGAAGCTGTCAGAACAACAAATATTGGGAACGAACCAAAAATCTTTCCCTCACCGGAAGCACCAGCAGCCAGTACTGGATTACCGCCACCGCCGGCAAGAAGGAGGAAGATCAATCCAAGGAGTCATGCACTTTGTTCCAGGTTATCTTTGTCAACGCCGCCCAGAATACGGTCCGATTCAGGCATGTCCAATCAGGATGCTATTTATGCTTATGGAGGTGGGACAATCCGACATACACTTGTTCTGTGTTGGCAAACTACAAGACTTATGATGGTCAAAGCGGTGATATCTTCACGATTGTTGATTGGAGTTCGTTGGTGATTCTGCCCAAGTACGTAGCCTTCAAAGGAGACACCGGAAAGTACTTGGCTCTTCGTTCTATTGAAGGCCACGAGTATTTGCAGTTTATAACAGAGGATATCGGTGATCCAACCGTGGCATGCGAGGTTCTTCAAATGAGTGATGGAACCATCCAGATCTGGCAAATTTCTAACCGCCGCTGGTGGAGGCGTAGCCCAAATTGGATATGGGCAGATCTTTTTGACATTCTCCCCTACCAATTCAAGGAATGCACGTTTAGCCCTGTAAAAGTTGACGATCAGACCATAGGTCTTATCAACATGGGCAACAATTATTTCTGCAAAAGACTCACAACCGAAGGCAAAACGGACTGCCTTAATGCAGCAGCCACCACCGTCACAAAAGAAGCCCGGCTAACGGTGGTAGAGGCTGTCCTGACCAGAGAAATCTACGGTGTCCGATATGATCTCGATGATGCCCGGGTCTACGACGAATCAATTCTCAGCTTAGATGAGAAGAGTTCTATCAACTGGAGTACTGAACAAACCTCCACCTTAGAGTTGCAGCTCTCGTATACAGAAACCAGGTCTAGTTCATGGAAAGCTAATATTTCACTCAAGTTGGGTGTGAAATCCACAATGGAGTTCAAAATTCCACTCATCTTTGAGGGGAAAATTGAACTATCCGGTGAATTTCAATCAGGAGTCGAGTGGGGAAGCACCACCACGGTGACTACAGTTGTACAAGCTGTACACAAAGTTACTGTGCCTCCAATGACTGAGGCAACAGTTACTGTATTGGCAACAAACGGTAAGTGCGATGTCCCCTTCACATATCTGCAGAGGGACACTCTTTTTAATGGGAAAACCGTCTTATCTGAAGTTAAAGGCGGCGTTTTCACCGGTGCTAATTACTACAACATCAACTTTGTGACCAGAAACAAGAAGCTGGAGTGAGTCGAGGTAATCCATATAAACAAGACTTCAATGGGCCATTAGAAGGAATGTGTATGTTGTGAGTCTGCGAGTAAAATAAAATCATGTTTCGTTTTCTTTAAGTTGCAAGTAATAAATGGTGCGAGCATAGCATAGCGGCACCGCATCTTTCGTGCTCTTGAGTTTGATAATATATAGTTCATGTATGATATCTTTATGTGTGTGGTAATCGAAATATTATTTCTGTTAAAATTTATGATGAGTTGATCTTCTTATGATTATGAATATATTCATTTATTTTAGGAAAATTAAAAAAAGTTAGTTTCTGTGTATATATATATATTGGTTATGAAGAGTGGCTGTGTCAAAATATTTGAGTAAGTTTTTGTTTTCCCCCACTAAAGTTTCTAAAGTGACGAATTGCTAACCAAGAGGTTTGGCATCATTTGTTGGCTGGAGGAATGGGAGTGGAAAATTGAGAGCTGCCAAGGATATCCACAGCCGAATTCAACACTATTTCGTTGATTAAGTTTCAGAAAAACCCAAGACTCTTTCACTCTAATTCTACTACTTTCAATAGAGCTAGAATTGTGCTTGGGGGTGGTGTATGAAGACTTGAGCACTTCGCGTCTTCGCCTCTTTATGTGTGATAAGACTTGAGCACATTTATAGGGAAGTTGCAGAATCATCAGAATGAAGATGCAATATTAGGAGCATTTTCCTTTATTTTTTGGACCCTTACACTGTTACCCCTTCCTAAATATGTGTTCATTATATTAAGTGCATATAACGGAGAAGGTTTGATGAACCATAAAACTTCACAGTGGATATTACTCTCTTCTAAAACTTTGGTTAACCATTCACAAGCTTGCTTATATGAATTCTTATCAGGGGCAGTTTTGCTCTCTACTACTTGCTGCCAAGGCAAAACCATGAACCTCATCACCATAGTCCACCTCGTTGTTAACTCAATGCAATTGAAAGCATAGAGGGAGTGAGAATGAAAGAGGAAGGGTCAGTTTTGAGCAATGATCATGGTCAAATGATGGAAAAAAGTAAACTAATGTGCCACATCATCATTATGTTTCTCCACTAGTGATTGTTAACGGTGAGTGACCGGTTTATTATAAATCAGTAACGCTAATGATCAATTTTTTACTTTTGAAACTTTGACGGAGAAATCGAAAACTTAATCAAACATGAGTAACCATTTATGTGATTTCCCTATACAAAAACTATAAAAATTACATATATAACTCATAATAAACACATATTAGTTAAAATAATCCACAACTATAATTTTAACTCATCTCTCTCAAGTGATCTTGGCCTCAATGGTCGCAGCTTTCTTAGGTTCACATAACAACAGTTTCTCTATAGTGACTTAAAATCTTGTCTTTTCACATTGTAAGAATATCATCAACATTAACGTCCTTAGGCAACACAAACTTTCTCGTGAACTTGTCGGCCTTTCTCTCCATCCTCAAGTATTTATCTCCTTTCTCTTCTTCTTGCTTCCTCTCCCTATTGAACATCACATTGACATGTTGGGTACCATGTTGACATGTTGAGTGTTGGGGTGGGCTGGAAGCTAGAAATGTTGTGATCCAGGTTGGGTACAAATGGTGGGAGTGATAAGTTAAAAGGTTGAGTTGGCCATTGAACTAGAGCCAACCCAGTAGTCGTGGACGGGTTGTTTACATGCTGGGCTTCCTTTGGGTTAATGTTGAGGCTCGGAGTACTTGAAAATTAATACCGGTCAAAATATAAAGTTTAGGGTAGTTTGGTTTTATAAAATATAAATTATTTTCATTTTTATTTTTTAGAAAATAAAAAATTTCGAAGACAACCCCTTTAATTGTAAAATTAAAAAATGATTTCTAAAAAATAAAAACAAAAATAAGTGAACATATGAAAACATAAATAAGATGTTTACAGTATTTTCATTAAAATTGTTTTGAAAATTATAGAAATAAGAAAACACGAGATCTATATTTTTAACTAAAATCACGCAGATTCAAATCAGTTTAAGGATAATTTTTTTAACTTAAGGGTAGTTGAATCTCTCAAACTTTTGCTAAAAAATTAATAAGGTCCCTGGATTCTTTTTACACTCAATTTGGTCCTTAAAATAATTTTTTTTAATAATTTTATTTTTTATTATTTTTATAATTAATGTATTAAATATCTTAATAATTGTGTATATTTTATATTTTGAATTTAAATAATATTTTAATTTTTCTACAAAATTAATTAAGCCCTTAAACTTTCCAAAAGAATCAATTAGACCCTCGAACTTAGCCATAAATCAATTAAGCTCATTCATCCCATCATCTTCCATCACGTACTACCACAACAACATTGTGAACTATCATATTAATATTGTAGATTGTCATGTAAACTTTGTGAACTATCATATAAACGTTGTGACGGTCAACATTTGATTCCATTAGTCAAAGAGTTAAATAGAGGATCGCCTGGACTGCTTTTATATATTTCATTTGGGAGGAAAGAAATAGAAGAATTTTCAATAGAGGATCACGAACAACAGATCAACTCCTCACGTCTATAAAGGAGCTAGTTCGATTCAAAATCAGAGACAAGAAGTTCAATAGACTTGATTATGTAAATTCCAGACTTTGTAATTACTGGAATATTGACTAATCTTTTTGTTTGTACTTATGTTTTTCTCCCAATTGGGAGGATTGTTGTACATTGAACCTTTTTACTTGGGTAATAAAATCTACTTATCCAAAAAATATATTTTTAAGTATTTTTTAAATTTAATTGATATCCAATATAAATTAACATTATATTCTTATTATAAACTAAACTAATTTTTGTGTTATAAAATTTTTTATCAACTTTATTATTTTATATTTACACAACTCACAAATTAAATTTATGTAATAATTTTTTAATAACTTTATTTTAATATAATTATTTAATAAATATTTGTTCATCATTATTTTAAAAAAATGGATACCAAATATGTTTTAACTATTTTATTTATGAATTCAAATTTTCATTTATATTAACCAAACATGTTTTTTAATTTTTAAAAAATTAAAATTATTAAAAAATTAAAAGCAGATAAAAATATAAAATATTTTCTAGAACTAAAGGAATGCTTAACTTTAATGTTTTCGGAAAATAGATGGATAGAATTTATAACGAGACCGACTCGTACATTATAATGATACATTTATTAATTGCAGCTAAAGGAAAACGTAAATGCATGCTTCCATGAACGAAACATGATTTTATTATGCTTAGTACTCGCAGACACACCACATACACATTCCTTCTCCTGAAGTTTAACTCACTCCAGCTTCTCTTCTTTGGTATCGAAGACGATACTAGAGTAATTAGAACCGATGTAAGTGCCACCTTCAACTTCATTTATGACGGTGCTCCCATCAAAAAGAGTGTCCCTTTGGATAAATGTGAAGGGAACATCGCACCGACCTTGTGTTGCAATTAGACTAACAGTTGTCTTAGTCATCGGCGGCACTTCAATTGTGTGTACAGCTCCTTTCTCATTGGAGACTGTTGTGGTCGTTCCCCACTCGACTCCTGATTGAAGTTCAGTTGATATTTCGATCCCTCCCGCTGAAACGAAAGGAAACTTGACCTCCATACTGGCTTTCATACCTAACGTTAGTGACAACGTAGTGTTCCATGTTCTAGTGGTGGTATCTGTATACGAAAGATCCACTTGTAAAGTGCTGGGTTCTTGGGTATAGTTACTAGCAGAAGTCTTGGCTACGACGAGGATTGTTTCGTCGTAGACCCTGGCATTTTCAATACTATAGTTGACACCATAGATTTCTCGCTTCAGGACAGCCTCTTCCACTGTTAGTCGGGATTCAACATCGACAGACACGATATCTGCATTTAAGCTGTTTGAACCGCCCCGGGCTGTGAGTCTTTTGCAGAAACGATTGTTATCCAAGTTGATAAGAGCTATGGTCTGACCGTCAACTTTAACAGAGCGAAACAAGGTGTCTCTGCTGCTGGTGTCATCAGATTGTGCCAAGATCCAATTATACGGATTAGATCGCATCCAGAACTTTCCGTTAGAAATTTGCTTGATGCGGATGGTTCCGTCATTGTTAGGAAAAATCTCACATGCCACGGTTGGATCAGCGATGTCATCGGCTGCAAACTCCAAATACGCCAATCCATTGTAATAACGAACACACACGTAACCTCCGTAAATTCCTTTGAAGACCACGTACTTAGGCAGAAACAACATCGAATTCCAATCAATAACCGTGAAGATATCAGCGTCCTGATGATCAAAAACCGTGTACTCTGCCAACACACAACGAGCGAGCGCCGGATTGTTCGAGTACCACAAGCATAAATAGCATCCTGATTGGACGTGCTGTATTCGGACCCTATTCTGATCAGCGGCGTCGACAAATAGAAACCTGAACAACGTGCACG